TGTTACCTTTTGCCCATAAATGCTACATACCAAAATTGGTTGTAATTAGGTCTGCAGTTCAAGAGAAGAAGCTGAAAATGTTTTAAATTTATGGCCAACCCACCAGGATGAAAACAGATGCATGTAGCAACAGGTCACTTAATTGTTTTGCATGGACACTACTCTAGCTATGCTGAAATAGAAATCAGGGTAATCAGACAGTGTGCTTTCCCCTTTGTGCTGTGCACTATTTGTCAAATTAATGACTATAAACATTCAGCATCATCCATGCAAAAACACAACATTAACAGTTTAAATTCTATTTCGATGAATAAATCATTTAACCAACAACACAGGCATTACTAACAGGTAGGGATGGCAATCGTTTACAGAATTGCCAATCGGTTAACAAGAATTTGCACTACCTCAGGATGCTTCCACATCAATATTACTAATCATGCCTTTGCTATTCTTGACCAGAAGAATTTTAAAGACTTTTTCCTATGAATTTCTATGTAAAACTTTGATGGCTCATCGTGGCGCCACCCTAGATTTGAACAAATTTGAATCTACACTCAACTTGAGGATGCTTTTATAATAATAAGACTAATCATGGCTTGCTGTTCTTGAGCAGAAGACTTTTGCAAGATGATTCCTATATATTCTTTTGTAAAAATTTGACCCTCTATTGTGCACCCAATGGGGGGGGGGGGTCTTAATTTAAACAAACTTGATTCTACAATACCTAAGGTTGCTTCTGTATAAATATGATTAATAATGGCTTAGTTGTTCTTGAGAAGAGAGAAGATTTTTTTTTTATTTTAGATATTTCCTATGTTGTGTGTATGATAAGATTCTTACATGGGATATATAGGTTTTCTCGAGAAGATTTTTAAACACATTTCCTATATATTCCTATGTAAAATTTGACCCCCTCCTGTGGCTCTGCCCTACCCCAGTGGTTATGATATGAACAAATTTGAGTATGTAATGAAGCTTTCACATAAGTTTCATCCTTTCTTGCACAGTGCTTCTTGAGAAGATTTATAAAAGATGCCACCAAATTTTCATGAATTCTTTATTATCTCCCTTGAAAGAGGGTGTGGCTCTTCCTGTGAACAAACTTAAATCCCCTTTACCCAAGGATGCTTTGTGGCAAGTTTGGTTGAAATTGGCTCGGTGGTTCTTGAGAAGTCCAAAATGTGACAAGTTAAATTTACAGACGACACACAACAGACGGACGCCAGACATTCTTTGATCAGAAAAGAGCCTACAGCTCAGATAAGCTAAAAAGGCATAAAATATTTTGTTTATATTTAATCAGAACACTATATACAACCTATATTTTGCTCAGTTTCAAAAATAAATAAATAAAAATAGGTGTCTCTGACAAGACTGTAGCTCAACTGGTTTGTACTACAACATAGGAAGAAAAAAGTAGCACTTGAACTTGAAACTTTGCAACAGCAATAATAGAATAATGATCCTTGATTTAGTCTCTTTTTGTGATAAGATTTATTGCAATCAGACTAAAACTGTAGGAGGAATATCCTTTTGATTTTACAGATAATTCAATCTTTGTAACCATGGCAACATCGTTCATCAAAATCAAAAACTTATGTATCTACTTGTTGAAATCAGATCAAAACTGTAGGAAGAGTACCATTTGAAAGTATTTCACAGAAACTTCTATTTTTACTATACCATGGCAACAATGTTCATCAAAATCAAAAATCCATAAATAGAGTTATGTATCATAGTCTACTTGTTTGCCAAGTTATATTGAAATCAGACCAAAACTGTAGGAGGAGTAGCATTTTGAAAAATTGTTTACATATGGACAGACAGACAGGTAGACAGACAGACCGACAGACAGATGGACGACAGACACCTTACTATCACATAAGCTCTTCTGGTCTCTGACCGGTTGAGCTAAAAATCATAAAACATACCTGAAATATCAGATACATTAAAAATTTTCCAGACCAGATGTCACACAAGTTCATTTTGAATTGTTGCCATAATCAGAACTAATTTAGCCTAAGCTATCGCTTAATTTACAGTACAATGTTTGATTTGTAATATAATATGATAATTATAAAGAAAGGATAGACGAGGTTAAGGTTCACATTACAATAGGTTTACAAAGGCACTCTATGATAATTTAATTAAAGTATTAAAGAAATACATGACAGGCTAGGTAATGATGTGGTGTTTAAACAGCAATTAACATCTCACAAACTGACCAATTCCCCAAAAACTTTAATCCGAAGAGCCTTAATTATCTCAAATCAGCTTATATAATAGATAAGTGAAAATGCTAACATTCAAAAATTTTTATTTGTATTTTTTTAATTGAATTTTCAGGAAATTTTGTTTAAAATCACACAGTTTAAAAATTTTTCAGACTAACCAATTACATATTTTCTAACTGATTACCACATCATTCCAACTGAGTAACTGGTTAATCGATTACCAATTGCCATCCCTACTAACAGGATTTAGAAACAAGTTGTAACAAATTCTACCAATTGCACTTGCATTTTGTGCTCAGTTGATATGCTTTTCTGTGAAGTTGATATATCTATGTTTCAACCTCATGAAAAGGCTATACTTGTAAAGTATATGAAAAGTGACATGATCATATTTAGGAAATCCCATGCTTAATACACTTGGTGCTTTGAACTAAAAATGCATAAGCATCATGTGATTATTTACACAAGCTCATGACTACATGTAAGTCTTTGACCTACTTATAAAATTAGAAAGGAATTTTACTGTTTGGGTCATCATACTTTTCATATTGGTTTGGAGTGTCTCTATGAACGATGCAATAGTTCATCATTAAAAACCTGTTGTCATTCCTGTTAGGGAATAGGTATTGATTCTAATTTATGAATACACAAAGGTCACATACGTAAATTCCCTAATTTTCTCACTTTATGCAAATTTTCATCAATTTTAGAGCAAATTTTGTTTCAGAAAATACAGAGCTTAATTAATTGCCTACCTGCCAAAATTATATATTTCATGCACTAATATTAGATGTATCTCGTGTATAACAAGAGGCCAAAGGGCCTTAAGGTCACCTGAGTATAATACAACACTGTAAATGATCCACAGAGGGATAAAATAAAACAAAATAAACTGATCAATATAGGAAGCTGTGTTGCCAATGAGCAAAAGAAAGAAGATGATCAGGGATCAAATAATCAGTCTAGAACTCAGTAACAAATGATTAATCTTTAAGTTTTCCATTTTTATTTCTTTATTCCTTAGTCTTTAAAGTAGATCTCTCTGTATTCTTGATTATACTTGCCCTTATTTGTCACCATCACAATGCAAACTAAACAATAGTGCTTGATCACTTTTAGTGAACCCTGGTCCCATTCCCTCTCATACTGACTTCTCTTGGACTTTGAAGAACATTTAATGTACAAAGATAATTAAGGTACTTTTGTCTCATTTCTATTTATCTATTATTTACAAATCTATGTTACCATTAAAAGCAATGAAAGTACTTTTTGTATCATATATTATCAAAATTCTTGTGTAATTCTCTTATTCAATTGGCCTTTCAATGACATTTTTTTTTACAGTGATTAATTATCATAGGTGAAAAGCGAACAGGAATAACTTTTCTCAGAAGAATACAAGCAGTCCTGCCCAGCACCAGAATACTAGTTAAAATAATCTATCTGTGGCTCAGGACATTTACCATAAGCAGTCAAGGGCATCATGGAAACAAGTTATTTTTAAAATAATTTGTTTAGTTATTAAATGTCAGTATTTTGGGTTATCTTTCCCTGATTATGCTTTTCTTCAGTAACTTTTTCCCATTATTGGTACTTTTAAACCTAGTGGTATCTGAAAAGCTTTATTCATGCTGTACTTGGGTTATTAAGTAGATGGAAAAGGTTCATGACAGTAAAAGTAATATATCTTTAAGATTTAACAAGTTGAAATTCAACAAATCATAACTTATTTGAGTAATTTAAATCTTAACCAACCTCACTTTAGAACTCTTGCACAAAAATCTACAGCTTTTCACAAAAAATGTAAGACATAGAGATTGTACAGTAATATCCAAGGATTTTAGGAAAATTAGTCTAACTGTTGGCAAAATTGGCGGAAGTTGTGTAATTGACCTCTGAAATGTTCATGAGATGGAATTATTTTTCCCTGAAAAATATCATGATATTTTGATAAATATCATCATATCTGCTCAGGAGATATGAAGTCTGTTTGAGTCTATTAAAAGAAGTACATATATTTACAACTTTCTCAGCCTTAAATCATCTTAAATCAGCAGCAAGCTCAGAATATTGATGTTTTTTGGCAAAATTGATAGGCATTCTTTGTTTTAAGAATTAACTCAAATGAGTTATTTCTTCGTTTAGTAATAAATATTAAGTGAAGTAACTTAAAAAAGTTATTTTAAAAAATAACTTGATTCCATCATGCCCCTGACTGATAAGCCCTCACCACAGAATACATCCCATATAATTGCAATGTACCATATATACTCACCTATAAGTTGGTCTGCCTATACACTGTAAGATGGTTGTATTTTTTTAAGCTTCTTGGAGGGATTTGCTATTGACCCACTTAGTAGTCGATACAAATTTTTGCCAGAATTGGGTGACATGTTCAAGTCAAATTCTCTAATATTTAAACCTATGTTTCAAATATTTTGAGATGACGACCTAATTTTAGAATTATGAAGTGCTCAATGTCCAAGCCATATGTTTTGTTTTTTTTTCATTTAGACCCAGGTCCTATATTGACTTATTATTTCGTCATTTACAAATTTGACTGGGAGCACTTTAATGCTTTTCGCTAGAATTTACATGATTAAATACATTTAATACATGTTACAAGTACTTGCAATATCTCTAATTCTCTTTGGCCTCTCAGGCAGTTAGCACAACAAAAACATTTATTTAAAAGAATTCAAATGAAACATTATAATCATTGATGGCTTAGGCAAATTAAGCCTTGTTCAGTGAATCGATCCTTACTTTTTGAGGCCCAGTTTGGTTTGATACAGATCTCCCCTGGCTGGTTGTACTGGTCAGGGATACAGTGATAAAACTCCGGATCTGGACAATTCCACTTCTTCTTATATTCCTCCCATTCATTACTTTTGAAGGGACACAACTTCCCAGTTTGTAACAGGGTGAACTGGTTTTTAGCCATTTGTAGAAAATAAAACCTGTCAACAAAATAAATACGAGATAAATAGATTATTATAAATAATACCACATCATTATGACTCTATACAAATGAGTTATGTATAGTTTTATAGAAGAGGACTAGTGTTTCATTAGAAGTATAACTGTCAATATATTTTATTTCTTTAAATCAAGACTACTTTCTTTTCTAGATCTTTTTTACATGTAGGAGCTAGTGTTCAAATTTTATTAGAAATACTTCCTTCCTCAGAAGTATGTCTTGAAAAGGGTCTATCCATAGGTAATTAATTTTAAATTGTGAAGACCGGCTGGCCGGCCTGTCTTTTGTTGCATATCTACAATGTAAATGGGTCACGGCTAAATTGTATCTTACAATGAAAGGAGTAGGACACATGACTTAAGTCTATATAAGGATACATTTAATACAAACAAAAAAGAAATGATGCATGGATATATATATATATAAAATTTAAATGATTTTGAATAGAAATGACATTATAATAATAAATCCAAAAAATAAGAAGATCTAAGTTATAAGTTTTCTTTGAATTAATTCAATTGAATTGAACATATTTTATTGACAGAGAGTTTCATAGGGTTACTAAACCTAAATATTAAGCTCCACATTTTTAAGCCACTATATGATAAAACAAAAATTATTGAAATTAAATGAAACAGTTTCAATATCCTGAAAACTTGAAACTTACCAAAAAGTTTTAATTCTCAAAAAAAGCTGGAAAAAGTTTGGTTTGGGTGTTTTTTTGGTGGGTCGGTAGGCAACTGCAATTGTGACACAGATCTTCATAATAATGATTGTTAAACATTAGTTAAACATTGCAGTTTTGTAATACCATGTAAGCCTAAATTATCTTTTATTAACTTCATTTACATACAAGGCTGAGATTGCTCACTCTTTCAATTTTGTACGTTTGTGCATGATCAATGCTCCTTATCTTCACATTTGGGTACATCTAATAAGTGCATACTTACAGTCTTTTCTATACATGTTCAAGTGTTATTGTTATGTTTGTTTGAGATGCATGAAACAAATTAGAACATATTGGAACACACCCATCTTCTTTGGCACATGCCCTTTATAAGCATTGGGATCGTACAGGTTCTGATAATTTTTAAAACATGCATCTGTACATAAGTACCCATGCATGTTCCAGCAACAAATATACAAGTGCCAGGGTTGTCCCTAAAAATTGAAATAGAAGGGGACATTAAAAAAGTAGAAGGGGGTATGGGGTTTCTTCCCTAACAGGGAGTTGAGGGGGAATACCAGGATAACTGGGGAATTATATGTCATTCTCCAGGGGTCTTAGGGACAACCCTGAGTGCAGTGTATACATCACAGTAGAATCATAGTAGAGAAAAAAAGACTAGCAGAAGTACATGTACCAAAGGCGGATCCAGTATTGGCATGCAGGGTGTTACCCCACCCCGTTTGAGATTTGAATTCAGTTTGTTTAACTTGCATATAACCTAATTTTATACACATGTAATGTTCTGGCACATATCTGATGAGTCGTACACTATATACAATATTTGCTACAGTCCAATTGTTTGTATTCTGATTGGTTGTGTTCTATTGTATTATCATGCTAATTACAGGGTATGTTCTCTATCCATGGGCCTTTACCAATACTGTGTAATTGTGTTTGTGCCAATAAAATATTTGCTATTTATAGGGGTGAAGTTTCGAGTCTGGACAATATTTCCCTGAACTGCACGCCCCCGTTCTGAAATTTACTGGATCCGCCACAGAGTACCCTGAAGTATATTCTGTATTATATAATCGGTGGATGCTTTTGAATTATAAGTGATATTTATATTCAATACCGCCTCCATATTAAATTTCTCTTCTTTATTCTGCATGCTTTTCAGTTATGTATCTCTTCTGCTACGCTTCATAATCTTATGCGAAAACTAACGAAAACAATGGACATGCATACCTGACCTACCAGCCTATACATAGCCAACACAAATGTCACCGAATTTCTGTCCGTTTTTATTATATAGATCAATAACATGTGCTTTACAGTAGAATGTGTAAAATCACCACACATGAACATGATGAATAATAACAAATAAAAACTTTCTGCTACTCTTTATAATCTTATCCGAAAGCTAACGAAAACAATGGAAATACCTGACCTACCAGCCTACGTAGCCAACACAAATGTCACCGAATTTCTGTCCGTTGACGCGTGACGTTAATCAATAATACGTGCTTTACAGTAGAATGTGTAAAATCACCACACACGAATAATAACAAATATAAACTGCCTCTCACCTCTTTGATAAATTAAATAATTCACCTGTAATTTCTTACCGACTGCCCAACAGAACCATATACGGCCCCCGTTTCGAAAACGAAAGTAAGACTGGTATCATGAGGGAGAGGCGTGGGAGCAAGTAGGCCTACTTGTAGTCTATTTAGTAACTAAAGTGAATTCAGAGTTTGAAGAAGAGGTAAAGTTTTTTTTTTTTTTTTTTTTTTTTTTTTTTTTTTTTTTTTAAATAAAAAGAAGGAAGGGAAAGGAGTGGGTGGATGGCGGGTACATTTTGCCACTGTTTGCAGGAACTTGTTGTTGTACTTAGTAATAATTTTTTAAAAAATTTTGTTATTTACAGTTCTTGTGGTGCGGGGCATGCAGGGTCCTTCCACCTCCTCTTTAGTCATTTTTTCCCCATTTCAGTTGGTTCTGATCACAGGCACCTGAAGTGTGGACCTCTCCCCAAACTAATAAATATATTTATTTAGGAGTCTTTATATTATTTTCTCGAAAATATGTGATTTCTCCGTCAGTTCTATCTGTATGTCATTCTGTGCAATTGGTTTGTACTTTTGTTTAAGCAGGTATCATGATTGTCTTTGTTTGTAAGGCTCATTATTTAAATTGTATTTTAGAGGAACTGGAATTTAAATCAACAAGTTGTAATCCAACTTACATGTATACCCATAGCTCCCTTTCTAAGGAGGAAATTCTTCAAAATCATATCATGTCAGTTTTGAATATTTTTAATATTCCCAACAACCAACATTAATTTGAATTACCATAATCTATATTGGATTCCGAAACTTCATAAAAATCCTTACAAACAAAGATACATAGCGGGTTCCAGTAAATGATCTACCAAGCCTCTTTCTTTACTCCTCACCATGCCAAGAAATCCCGTCCATTTTTCCACAGCGATAGAGTCAATAAAAGTGTAATTGACGCAAATCACCTATATTCCCCTAACGCTGGCGAGACAATTAACGGCAGCAGATTTGAGGGGGTGGATCCTAAGTTTTCCGTTTTCTTAGTAAAAGAAAAATAAACTTCTACCCCAGAAAGTAGCCTCCTATGCCCTGAAAAAAAAAGTTCCTGTCAAAAACCTTTAATTGTTTACAAAAATGCACTAGACACAGGTTCCAAAATTGTAAAAATAGACTGGAAGGAAATAAAAAAAAATTCAAAAGGAAAAAATAATAATTTTATATGTATGGAACTACTAAGTTCATTTTCATTGGTCAATTAGCGGTAATAAAGGCGCGAGACTTCCACAAGAACCAAGTTCATCGTGCCAGATGCGCGTATATGTTAATTTATACTAGGAAAAAAAACTATTTTGATATGGAAACACTGAAAAATTTGAAAGGCGTCTAATTTTTACTGAACAATTAATTAGTTCATTACAATCTATTTCACTTTCTTTTTCTTCTATTTTACTTTTTTAACCGCATATGATTTGCATGGAAAATCCCCCCCCCCCTTTCAATAAAAAAAAAAAGACGGGAAAAAGGTGCAAAGGCTTCTAAATAATAAGTATTCTAGCTTTAATTTAAAACCAGTAAAACTTAAGATCCTTCCCTCAAAACTGCTGACATTAATTGCCTCGCGCACATCTCCCTGGGGAAAAATCACAGATTAACGATAATTCCGCTTTTATTGAGTTCGCTCTAAAACTAGAATGCTTACTTTTTCTTGGCATGTAAAATATTAACAGTAGTGAAGGAGAAACTTCAGGAGTACTGTGCAACAATATATTCGAGAAGTGGTGTAAATCAGATGTGGATTACTTAAAAATTCCATGGAACTTTTGGAAATTTGAAATCACAAAATTTTACCAAAATCAACAACATAAAACAAGGACGGTGGCGCAGATGATGATGTCAAAAGCCAAATATATATAAGGCAAGACATGCTTTCAATACCCTCAGACAAATCTCGAATTCTAAAGCACTCTCCATCAACAGCAAAATCAGGGTTTTTAGCACAAATGTTAAAGCAGTTCTTTTATATGGTTCTGAGACCTGGAAGGTAACTAAAACAATAAACAACAAACTACAGTCTTTCATCAATAAATGTCTCCGCCATATCCTTAACATCAGATGGCCTGATACGATATCAAACAACAGCCCATGGGAGAGAACCAACCAAAATCCCATATATATTGACATAAAAAAGAGAAAGTGGGGTTGGATAGGCCACACTTTACGCAAATCCTCAAACAACATCACAAAACAGGCTCTGGATTGGAATCCACAAGGAAAGAGGAGGATTGGGAGACCCAGGCAAACCTGGAGAAGGTCCGTGGAAAGGAGGCAAAAGAGGCAGGTTTTACCTGGACCCAATTAAAAAGCATAGCCCAAAACAGAGTCCGATGGCGCGGTGTGGTTGCGGCCCTATGCTCCCCAAGGAGCAAACAGGAATAAGTCAAGTAAGTCATTCCCCACGATAAATTAAAGTCCAGGCTTTTTGATATCATTGACAGCTGCTTTTTCAATAAAAATGGAACTCATAAATTTACTTACCTTCTCATTGGTCATTTACAAAATTATTTTGTTAAAAAACATTCTGATTGTACACACAAGTACTCTGAAGTTGATATTAAAAAGAATGCTTGAGTTTCTGATTGACAATATCTATGTGTTTTTTGGAGACCAGGTCTTCTAACAATCTATTGGAATACCCATGGGTACCAATTGCGCCCCGTTATTAGCAGACCTGTTTTTATATTCATATGAAGCAGAATTTGTTCAATATCTTGTACGTGAAAAGAAGAAAACACTTGCTGTGGCCTTCAACTCGACATTTAGATATATCGACAAAGTATTGTCAATTAGAAATGGTTATTTCCATTCGTATGTCGATACAATATATCACAGTGAGCTTGAAAGAAAAGATACCACAGAGTCTGATACATCTGTTTCATATTTGGATATTTTACTGGAAAAAGACGTTAATGGTAATCTTACAACAAAGCTTTATGATAAACGTGATGACTTTAACTTTTCAATCGTCAACTTCCCTTAGGAACACACGGCGGGTGTGACCGGTCGGCAAGGGATGCTCACTCCTCCATGGCACCTGATCCCGCCTCTGATGTTTTAGAGGTCTGTGTTTGCTCTGCTCCAAAATTTGTATTGTTTAAAGGACTTTTGAGCTTGAATACTGTTCGTTATCTCCATTCGTTTCATTTTAAAGTTTAAAAATTGGCCATATACCGGATATATATTATATGTATTCCATAGTCCTTTAGTACATAGTGCATGTATTTGCCTTTATTATATACATCAGATGTGATCTATGACAAACATGACTTTAATTATTAAATTTATTTATTAAGATTAACATTTTCCGAATAATATTCTTTATACAAACTGAAGTATGTTTCATTTTCTTATGAACTGACATGGATGTCTTGAGCATGAATTTTGTTGTATACGGGGGTTGTCCCAGAAAAACGTGAACATTTACAATATTTTTTTTTTGTTTTACTAGTGTTATTAAGGTCTTGTCGTGGTAGATGTTGACACGAAAAAGATCCTTATTGCTCAATGGTTAAAAGTACATGTATCTAATACATGTCTAAATTTGCAGCCTCCAACGGCAACTGGTGGCAATATAAATGAAAAGTTTCGAAAAGACATAAAGCAAACAATTTATTCGATTATCTGAGCAAACTTTTTACTAGTTAAATTTCTAAAACATACATATTTTCTGAATACACCTCATGTGTTATTTTTAGATCAATATAACATGACTATGACAGATAACATACTCCATTTACAATAAATAGATTGAAAAAGATAAATTTACACAATTGACTATTTTGTAGTGTGACTCATCAAAATTTCCAATGAACATATTTATAATGTGAATAGTTAACTTATAATAAATAGATTAATTATTTGGATAATAAATCACCAACTTATACACTCATAAACTCTTGAAATTATTATCACTTGATTAGTCGATGTACTAACATAGATAGACTTTATTAGATCTGTAATCCGTGTCTGAGCATGCTCCATACCGAAGGTCACAGGGAATGAGATCAATGTCATTGGCAGCCGTATTGAAAATGGGACAGTAATCTACATAAACACACATAAACCATTAGCATCTTTTAGAGCAAGATAAATATGATCAATAATACACATGAAACATTATAATTAAATGTCAAAAACATCATTAACTGCTGTTTCGCATTTTACTGGAGTTACCGAATTTCTGAAAAGCTACTTATACCAAATCTCCCCAATATGTTTCATATCACATTGTTTAAGAAGTGAAAAATTTTAAATTAGCCGTAGTATTGTCTAGCTAATGCTACAAGTCTACAAGTCCTCAATTAAGAAATTTCAATGTTTTTTTTTCAACGATATTAAAGGTAATATTGGAGAAAAATAACCAGTATGATTTAATTAATCATAGATTTTGTTCATATATTTTGCCTGCAAAGCCGTCTCTATGGTCTCAAGTTAACAGTCTATATTCAGGGTATTTACACTGCCCTCCGCGTGTGAATTATGAATGCATATATTGTGCATATTATATACATATAGTAATGAAGTTCAAACAACTACATTCTAGCGCGGAATTCTTACTTTTTGAGGCCCAGTTTGGTTTGACACAGATCTCCCCTGGCACGTTTTACTGGTTAGGGATACAGTGATAAAACTCCGGATCTCCACAATTCGTCTTTACAGCTTAAAAAAAGTTGACTAAAATTATCTATACGAAAATATTATTACAAATAAGTATCAAATATTTTGATCATTCTTCTTTATTTGGCCTCTCATTTTGAAACAAACGTTGCAACAGATGTTTCCTAGAAGAAGATGTGGTTTTGGCCGCCATTTTCGAATTAAGACATCAAATTTAGAGCGCAATGCAACATCTTTAAGTCTACTAGCCTGAATAAATAAGTAAAATTAATTAACCTTCCAACTCACCTTAACTTCTCAGCAATATAAAAATGCATGAAGCTTAGTGTTGCAGTAATGTGGATAACATATAGTTCACCGTATGAAATTAAGATTGCACAGCCAACAATTTTATCACATCTGTTATACAATCAATTTCTCTCAACGAATAATTAGGGTCTTCCGTCTCCTACGGAAGACCCTTCTATTATTCTTTTGTTTCTTTTTCACTTTTATTATTAGGGTCTTCCGTCTCCAACGGAAGACCCTTCTATTATTCTATTGTTTCTTTTTCACTTTTATTAGGGTCTTCCGTCTTCAGCCGAAGACCCTTCTATTATTCTTAGGTTTCTTTTTTACCTTTATTATTATTATTATTATTATTATTATTCTTTTTTCTCCTTACAAAATTTGTGCAGACGATTTCTCGGAGATGGCTCGTTCGATTTTATTCAAATTTTCAAGGTAGATGCGTTGACATCTGAAGTTAATTCCGGCAAGTCTGTTAAGGGATATTTTCTTCCGGTCGAGAGTTATCGCCCTTTTATTAAAATTTAGAGGACCTCCTTGTCTGCGATGGAACTCAAAAACGGCTTAAGCTAGAGCGCTGAAATTTTCAGTGATGATAGAGGACATGTTGTCATTTTGCACCTGGGTTTGGATATTTTCCGGAAGTTCCTAGTATGGAAGCTCGGTAGGGGTCGAAATTTAGGACACGAATCATGAGTGAATTTTTGAGACATTTTGTATCATATCTTTTAAAGTATAATTATTTTGTAAAAACATACTGAACAATATTTGTGCAGAATGACAAGATCTTTAATATGATATCAAGAAAAAAGGGCTGACCTATCATGATAAGGGCCGAGAGGGGCCAAAAATATTAAATCAATAACTCTTTAACGATCAATATTTTGGTATACATTACTGAAGCAAAAATGTTCATCTCAACAATTTACAACTATATATTATGATATTCACATCATATGTTACATAATTAGGGGCCATAAGGAGCCAGAATGCTAAATCTTTGACGCTTTATATCTCAAAAGTGGGAAATATTTTGATAAGCAATATTGAATAAAAGATGTTCAAAATAATGTTCTAAACAATATGCAACCTTTCATTTTTTGCTAAACGTCCCCCATTAAGGAGTTGAAGGGCCGGCCCCTAAATACTTCCTTTGTAAATATCTCAGAAACGAAAAAGATTTCTGAGTACTTGTTGAACAAAAAGTGTTCAAAATCATGAGCGCTTTAAAGTGATATAAAGAAAAAGGGGCTGGCTCCTCAAAATAGGGGCTGAGAGGGGCCGAAAGTCTTTGAACAATAACTCTTTAACGATCAATATTTTGTAATGCATTACTGAAGCAAAAATGTTCATCTCAACAATTTACAACTATATATTATGATATTCACATCATATGTTACATAATTAGGGGCCATAAGGGGCCAGAATGCTAAATCTTTGACGCTTTATATCTCAAAAGTGGGAAATATTTTGATAAGCAATATTGAACAAAAGATGTTCAAAATAATGTTCTAAACAATATGCAACCTTTTCATTATTGCTAAACGTCCCCATTAAGGAGTTGAAGGGCCGGCCCCTAAATATATCCTTCGGATATGTCTCGGAAACGAAAAAGAATTTCTGAGTAGTTTTGAACAAAAAGTGTTCAAAATCATGAGAGCTTTAAGGTGATATCAAGGAAAAGGGTCTGACCCATTAAATAAGGGGCTGAGAGGGGCCGAAAGTATACAATCAATAACTCTTTAATGATCAATATTTTGTAATATATTACTGAAGCGAAATTGTACATCTTCACACACTTTATCTAAATAACATGATGTTGATATCATATATTACGCAGTAAGGGGTCTTTAGGGGGCCAGATTGCATAATCTTTGGCGCAATATATCTCGAAAAGGAAGAATATTTTGATAAACAGTATTGAACAAAAGACGATCAAAATAATATTGTGAACAATATGCACTCTTTCAATTTTTGCTAGACGTCTCCATTTAGGACCCGAAGGGCCGGCCCTTAATATTTCTTTTGCATATATCCCGAAAACAAAAAAGAATTTCTGACTAGTTGTTGAACAAAAAGTGTTCAAAATCATGAGAGCAAAGAAGGGGCTGACCTCTCACATTAGGGGCCAAGAAGGGCCGAAAGTCTTTAATCTATAACCCTTTAATGATCAATATTTTGTTAAACATTATTAAAGCAAAATTGTTCGTCTTAACAATTTATTTATATCATTATATTTGAACTGAAATCTCAGTCAAATTTTTATCTCATCTTATCAAAAATCGGACGGAAGACCCACTCGTTGCTCGCAACGAGATCTCATCTAGTTATTATTATTATTCTTTTTTTTTCTTTACAATTTTTGTGCAGAAGATTTCTCGGAGTTGGCTCGATCGATTTACTTGAAAATTTCAGGGAAGATTTATCTTTGTCTGAACCTTATACGTTTTTCTCATTTTTTTGAAATTCACTTCCGGTAGGAAGTTATCGCCCTTTAATCAAAATTCAGAGGACCTCCTTGTCTGCAATGGAACTCAAAAACGATTAAAGCTAGAGTGCTGAAATTTTCAGCGATGATAGAGGACATGTTGCCATTGATCACCTGGGTTTTCAAATTTTCCGGAAGTGCCTAGTATGGAAGCTCGGTAGGGGTCGAAATTTAGGAAACAAATCATGAGTGAATTTTAGAGACATTTCTTACGATATCTTTTTAACTCTGAGTATTTTGTTAAAACATATTGAACAGAAATTGTGTAGAATTACAAGATCTTTTATATGATATCAAGGAAAAAGGGCTGACTCATCACATTAGGGGCCAAGAGGGGCCGAAGGTCTTTAATTAATAACTCTTTAACAATCAATATTTTGTAATCCATTACTGAAGCAAAAATGTTTATCCCAGCAATTTACAACTATATATTATGATATTCACATCATATGTTACATAATTAGGGGCCATAAGGGGCCAGAATGCTAAATCTTTGACGCTTTATATCTCAAAAGTGGGAAATATTTTGATAAGAAATACTGAACAAAAGATGTTCAAAATAATGTTCTAAACAATATGCAACCTTTCATTTTTTGCTAGAAGTCCCCATTAAGGAGTTGAAGGGCCGGCCCCTAAACACTTCTTTTGCAAATATCTCAGAAACGAAAAAGAATTTCTGACTAGTTGGTGAACAAAAATTGTTCAAAATCATGAGAGCCTTAAAGTGATATGAAGAAAAAGGAGCTGGACCCTCAAAATAGGGGCTGAGAGGGGCCGAAAGTCTTTGAACAATAACTCTTTAACGATCAATATTTTGTAATGCATTACTGAAGCAAAAATGTTTATCTCAACAATTTATAACTATATATTTTGATATTTACATCATATGTTACATAATTAGGGGCCATAAGGGGCCAGAATGCTAAATCTTTGACGCTTTATATCTCAAAAGTGGGAAATATTTTGATAAGAAATACTGAACAAAAGATGTTCAAAATAATGTTCTAAACAATATGCAACCTTTCATTTTTTGCTAGAAGTCCCCATTAAGGAGTTGAAGGGCCGGCCCCTAAACACTTCTTTTGCAAATATCTCAGAAACGAAAAAGAATTTCTGACTAGTTGGTGAACAAAAATTGTTCAAAATCATGAGAGCCTTAAAGTGATATGAAGAAAAAGGAGCTGGACCCTCAAAATAGGGGCTGAGAGGGGCCGAAAGTCTTTGAACAATAACTCTTTAACGATCAATATTTTGTAATGCATTACTGAAGCAAAAATGTTTATCTCAACAATTTATAACTATATATTTTGATATTTACATCATATGTTACATAATTAGGGGCCATAAGGGGCCAGAATGCTAAATCTTTGACGCTTTATATCTCAAAAGTGGGAAATATTTTGATAACCAATATTGAACAAAAGTTGTCCAAAATAATGTTTTATACAAGATGCAACCTTTCATTTTTTGCTAAACATCCCCATTAAGGAGTTGAAGGGCCGGCCCCTAAATACTTCTTTTGCAAATATCTCAAAAACGAAAAAGAATTTCTGACTAGTTGGTGAACAAAAATTGTTCAAAATCATGAGAGCTTTAAAGTGATATGAAGAAAAAGGGGCTGGACCCTCAAAATAGGGGCTGAGAGGGGCCGAAAGTCTTTGAACAATAATTCTTTAATGATCAATATTTTGTAATGCATTACTGAAGCAAAAATGTTTATCTCAACAATTTATAACTATATATTTTGATATTTACATCATATGTTACATAATTAGGGGCCATAAGGGGCCAGAATGCTAAATCTTTGACGCTTTATATCTCAAAAGTGGGAAATATTTTGATAACCAATATTGAACAAAAGTTGTCCAAAATAATGTTTTATACAAGATGCAACCTTTCAATTTTTCAAAAACGTCTCCCTTAAGGAGTTGAAGGGCTGGCCACTAAATATTTCTTTTGCAGTATCTCGGAAATGGAAAAGAATTTCTGAATAGTTGTTGAACAAAAAGTGTTTAAAATCATGAGAGCTTTAAGGTGATATCAAGGAAAAGGGGCTGGCCCCTCAAACTATGGACCGAAAGGGGCCGAAAGTCTTTAATCTATAACTCTTCAACGATCAATATTTTGTAATACAATACTGAAGCAAAAATGTTTATCTTCATAATTCACATCTATATATTATGATATTTACTTCATATGTTTCGTAATTAGGGGCCATAAGGGGCCAGAATGCTAAATCTTTGATTCTTTATATCTCGAAAGTGGGAAATATTTTGATAAGCAATATTGAAAAGATGTTTAAAATAATGTTCTTAACAATGTGCAACCTTTCAATTTTTGCTAAACGTCCCCGTTAGGGAATTGAAGGGACGACCCTAAATATTTCTTTTGCAAATAACTCCGAAACGAAAAAGAATTTCTGAACAGTTGTTGAACGAAAATTGTTCAAAATCATGAGAGCTTTAAGGTGATATCAAGAAAAAGGGGCTGGCCCCTCAAAATACGGATCGAGAGGGGCTGAAAGTCTTTAATCTATAACTCTTTTTGATCAATATTTTGTTACACATTACTGAGGGGAAATTGTT